ATTTTTCGGAATCTGGGGATATAACCTCGGGTTTTTCTTATTCTGAGGATATAACATCAGGCGGTTTTTAACAGTGTAACATGGAATTTCATACCACAAATGTATATATAGTTGCTATCAATTATGGTTGGTCGACAAGTTTGATTCTGTAATGATAAAATGAAATGATTGATAAACAAAATGTTTTGAATGTTTTTGACTATCCAAAAATAAATACCATTTTCTCCAGGTTACAATCAATTGATTGTTGTCGATTATTTGATTGATCCAATTCGATCATCAATGATGTTGTTGGTTGATCGGATTTAATTTGATCATAATGATGATTCGATTCATCTTGATGTATTAATTGATGAAATTCTTCTAAATAATTTTCATTATTTGTTTCTTCACATTGTCCATAGAATAATCTATTGATTTTAAAATAATGAAAAAATCAATGTTTTTATCAAGAATGAATAAAAATCAATCAATACATACGCAATCAATTCTTTACGGCTATTACAAGCCATTCGATTCATTTCACATTCATTACGATATGTATTACCATCTATAGATAATCAGGAGAAAAAACAATGAAAACCGAAAATCGATTGTTTTTAAATGGAAAATTTTCACCATGAAAAAATGAAAACTGAATTCTTACCATTAGCACATAATGGTTCTTCAACAAGATTATTTTGGCAATTATTTGTACATAAACATTCACCATTAACACAAGTAGCTCCTATTTTGTGAAAAACACGAATGAGATAAAGATATGCGAATTAACAACCAACAACCAAATGTGTGTGTGTTTACATGGTAGATCAGTTTTGTTTTTTGTTTTTCACTATAAAATTGAATAGGATCGTAAATAATAATAATTATAATTATCTACGGTAAATTGGCTGCTTAAAAAAACTACAATGAACAACAATGAAAAACGAAAAAAACCCTTATCCTCTATCCAGAAACAGAAAACCAATCCACCATGTAATCATTCGGGGAAAAAAACAAACAAACAAATGTAAATTACCATAATGACAAATAACGTTGTGGCATAAATCTAGAATTCGTTTGTTTGGTTGGTCGGAGAAAAAAACAAAAATGATGAACAAGAAATTAATCGAAATTGTAGAATGAGAAGAATATTTTTTTTTTTCACTTACCACAACTTGAATTGAATTGTATATTAATCTGTTTACGTAAACGACATGATGCTATTTGTAATTCACATTCATTTTCATATGTTATGCCTTATTAAATTCAATGTTAAATTCATTATTATTAATAATCGTTAATTTTGGAAAAAAAATAAATAAAAATCATTTTGAATGTTGTCTGTAGTGTTATGTAATGATATGATTATTTTTTTTTTAAATGTTTTGCCTGAATTGTTTTACATTCTATCTATCTATTCTGACTAAACTATTTTTGAAATGAAAAAAAGAGCTCAGATGTTTTTCTTGTTGTCTTTTTTTTTTGATTGTTTACCATTATCTCCACAAACAGGCTGATCAACACTGAAAAAGAAAATTATAGAAAAAAAAGATTGGAAAATTGCAAGAAACAAAATATGGTGCAACATCAATCAAGTAAATAGAATAAGAATCCTATATATAAACTTACCGTATACAAACTTGTGGACAAATACATTCCGGTATATTATTATTTTGTTCATTTAGCTGACATTTTGAATAATAATTACATTCAGGATAACATTTACCTACAAACATTCAATGAAAAAAAATCGATTAAATGGAAAAATTGATCCAAAACAAAAACAAAACATACCACAAATACCATTATATAATTTAGTTATATTTAATTGCCTTGAGCATGCATATGATCGTAATTCACATTCATTTGGAAAATTCTGTTGATTACTACCACAAACAGGATCATATTCTGCATTTTTGTTGTAAACAATCGCCATCAATGTAAATATAAATAAAGTAAATGTAAATGAAGAAAGCAATTAAAAAACAGGAAAATAAATAAATAGAATACCAAATTACCATTTGAACAATTATTCTGACATTGACACTTTTTCATTGTTGCAATTGTTGTTGTTGATGATGATGTCCCCGGGCTTGATGATAATAACAAAGTTGTTGTTGATGAAACATTTTCGGTTGTTTGTTGACATTTAGCATAATAATGACATATTTGATCACCACATTTAACATTTTGTTGATGATCATCTCCATAATTAGACCATTTTGTTATTGATGCGGCTTCGGCTGATGATGTTTTCTGTTGCTGTTGTTTAGTTGTTGTTGATACATGATGAGAACCCGAGCAGAATGTAATATCATCGACCGGTAACAAATCGATATTATAAATACAGGAATATTTTTCCAATTCACATAACGAATCGAATAATTTTCCATTCGAACCGCAAACTTAATTATGAATCCAATTTGTGAAGAAGGCCAGAGCAAAAAATTTTCAATTTATTTTTCTGAATTTTTAAAAGCATCTTACCTGGTTGCTTGTTACGACAAGCATCCGATGATTGTTGTTGCTGTGAACAAACACATTGTGTTTGGCCATTTTCATTCAATTGACAATGTTGATAACGTTGACAGACAATATTTTTACATAATGCTGAATCTGAAAACAAACAGAAGAAGCAAAAAGAAAATAGAAAAGAAAAGAATTTTAAATGTGGAAAAAATAACTGAATTCTATTAAAACTTGATTTGATTTACATTCGTTTCAAAAAAAGAATTTAAAATTCTGATTTGATGGACGAAATGAGTAATTTTCTGCTTGTTGTTGTTGTTGTTGTCATTATAAAATGTAAATAATTTATATGTTAATTGCCCGGAAAATTCATTCATTCATTCAACCATTGAATTTTTGTTGAAAATTTCATTTTCTTAAATAAAAAATTTCATCTTTTTGTTTTCATATTTAAACCAGAAAATACTTTTTTCCTTTCGGGAAATTTTTGCGCTTCTTCTTTTTGGCTCGTAGAAGAAATCAATGAATTATTATCATTTCATTGCACAAAACCTTATCTTATGAATGAAAAACAAAACATTGTTCACCATATCATTATCATCATCATCATCTATTTATATGGTGATTTGTTTTTTTTTTCGTTTAAACATCGACAATAATAAACACCATCTAACCATATCGATCAAATCAAAACTGGAAAAATGGTGAAAAAATGAAGGAAGGAAAGAGTAGAATTTTATGGATATTTTTATATGAAAGTTTTTTTTGTTTGGAAGTTCTTCAGCAGTTCTGCAACTGTCAGTCGAAAAATGATAAGAGTTGAAAAACTAGAACAGAATAGAAAAAAATGTAAAGTGTGTGTGTGTTGCTTCAATCGATTTCTCTCGAGAATTAACACTTTCAGTGCTTCAGTTTGGCAAGTTTATACTTTTTTTATCTTCATCATCATCATGATTAAATGAGATGCATACATTTTTTTTCTTCTAGTTATACATCATCATGATCTTGATGTTTTTTTTTGCAAAATAAAAAGAAAATTTTTCGCTTTTTTGTTTTGTCAATATTAATGACCTATCTGTTTAAATGATAATTTGTGATTCATTATGTGATTATGCTGATAATATCTGTTTTTATACATTATGTAAAAAAAATTCGATCATAATTCAACAAAACAACAACTGAAAAATCAACAAACAAACAAATAATCTGATTAGATGGTGAGAGAATGAGAGAAAGAAAAAGTTTTTTGGAAAAAAAATAAAATTCAACACTTTTTTTGTTTATTTATTCTGTTGCCATTAATTATTTAAATGTTTTTTAGTTGTTGTTTGATGTCAATATTCATTCATGATAACTGACTTGAATGAATGTTTTTTTTTCTACAGAAACAAACATGAAACAACAAAATGAACAACCGGATATCGTATCAGTGGAAATAGATTCTTGTTGTTTTAGTTTTCGTTTTTCAATTGATCGAAATAGAATTGAAAATTGTGATTTTCAATTGAGAAAAATCAAATCAAATTTAACTAATGATTTTTTTCCTGTTTTTTTTTTGTTGGTGGAAATAATATTGAAATGACATTATCATAATGATGATAATGTTCAATGTACCATTTCATCGAAAGTAAATGATGATTTTATAAATGTTTTTTTTTGTTGGGAAAAATTCAATATCGACTGAAACTCGGATCTGAAATGAAACCGAAACAACATTACAAAAATGTCAAATAGAAGCTTATTGTCAACGGAAAAATTGGGGAAATTTTTTGTTAACCCTTTTTTGTTTTCCTGAAACACTTTGACATCGAACAACCATGAAAAAAAATTAACAGACAACAGTTATTGGAAAACAAGTACATCATGATGATGATGATGAATTAACAAACAGAATGAAAAAATGAATGAAGAAGAATCTTTGCTTTCTTCAAAGTACATTTTGAATTTTAAAAATTTTACAACACTTCTCTCTCTCTCACAACATGGATAAATATGCTCAACAAAAAACAAAAAGTGCGTACCAAATAACGAACATTGATAATATCATAATAAAGAATGTTTGTAACGAAAAAAAAAGAAAGAAAAGAAATTTCCCATATGGATTCATGTCAAAATTGGTTAGCGAAAAACTTTTCATTTCCATTTTGGCTTAGGTTATATAACCTAAAAGTGTGTATTTTGTAACAGAAAAACAAAATGCTAAAATTTTAAAATTTGTAAAAAAAATTTTTGAAAATTCAATGCATCACTCATTCACTTACTTGCTTTTTTACTAAATATAATAATAAATTATAAATACATTATTTTCACTAAATGATAACCCTTTTTCGTTGTTTGTCTTTGTTTTTCTCCTGTTATAAGGATTCACGTTCTTGCTTTTTTCAATACTGATGTTTTGGTTGGGAAAATATTCTTAGCAAGAAAGTTTTGTCATCCCCACACAATAAACATCGTACAAAAATTTTCAGTTTTCGGTGATAATTAATTTTCATTTTCATTTTCAATTTTAAAGTGAAAAATTCGATTTTTTTCTCTCCACTCCATTCGACATAATCACACACTAACAACAGTAGTCAAAATACAATGTCATGTCTATAAAATGTCAAACTACCGGTAATGTATATATAAACTGAAACGGAAAGTCATTCATCTTTTGAAACTATTTTTATTGATGTCTCCCTAACTTTTTCAAATCTCTCTCTCTCTCCCTCTCCCATTTCTCACACGAAATAACATTAATAATCTTTTTTTTCTTACGGAAAGATACCGATGTTTGTCTTGTAGATGCCGGGCGTGTTAGTAGTATCTCTCTCTCTCTCTCTCTCTCTCTCTCTCTCTCTCTTTATGCAAATAGAATGTGCGTGTGTGTGTGCTTAATGTAAACAAAACAAAACGAATGGATAAAATGAAACGAATGAATGAATGGATCGATGAATGTTAAAAGAATTTATATATCCAAACAAACAAAAAGAAAACGAAAAAGAAGAAAGAAAAAACTATGTTTAAATGTGTTACATTGTTTGATAAACAAACAAGATAAAACTTGTAGCATTTTTCTTTCGTCTTTTTTTTTCACGAGAAACAACACAATAATAATAATAAATGCCAGAAGCTAATTTTATAATATTCATGCGCATCCTTTTATCATATTAAATTCATTTTGTGAATTGGAAAAAATTAAGTAGAAATAGAATCTGAAAAGAGATTTTTGAGTTCATATTTTTTTGTTTTGCAATTAATAATAGCCATTTCTAGAATGAATGAATGATGATCATGAATGTAATATTTTGGATCAATTTTAGAGAGAGAGAGAAAAAAAAGTAATGGTTTTTATTGGTCTTTTCATTGGTCAATCACCATTAAAGGAAATGATATCCATTTGATATTCAACTTTTTTCCCTTCCATATAAAAAGCATCATTGCAAAAAATATAGCAAAAAAAAACGACAACAACAACCTACAGTTAGAAAGAGGAAATTGTTTTCGATTAATGTCGTTTAATTTTTTATATATACTATCCACTTCTCGATATTATTATTATTATGTTAAAATGATTGTCCATTCATTCATTCATTCATTCATTTGGATGAAAACAGATAAAGAAAAGATGCTTATCCGATCCATCCAACAAATGGATGTTCAAGTACGTTTATAGAGATTCGTAAAGGAAAAAAAAGATAAGTGATCAGAAACAAAAAAAAATAAAAATCTTCATAGTTCAGATGAATGAATGAATGATGATGATAGGCATAAAAGTTATTATTTATATTTGTAATTATTTTTCATAAAAAAGATATGTCCATTATAAATATTATTGCTATTCACACACACACTATGGGAATTCTCAATTCACATTCCTTTCATTTCCGATCACTTTTATCCAACTTTTTTTTTTCTTTCTTTCATCATCATATCTCAATCAAAAAAGAAAAAAAAATGCTTTTTTGCACATTATATCGATATAAAACAAATGTAAAGATAAACAGCAACAAAAGACCAGATAGATCAGATATGAATTGTTTTTTTTTCTTCGTATATAAACTTATAGGCATAATATTCATTTGGCAATTGATCTCACTTACCACAAGTACCATTCAATGTTATACGAATATTTTGTTGTTTATTACATGATTCCAATTTTAGATGACATTTATTAATATATGTTATATTATCAGAACCTTTTTTTACAAGAGAATAGAGAAAAAAAAGGTTAAAAAAAATTGATTTTTTTCAGTCAAAAATTTATCTATGAAACTAACCACAAACAGGTTGATAATCATCTGGACAACTTGTTAATGGACAACGACAATATGATTGATTTGTATAATCATCCAATATACATTCAGCACCATATTGACATTTTGATTTACAAAAATCTTTTGTTTTATTTTGCAAGTTTGGAAGTTTATGAAAAATTCACATTTGATTGAAAAAAAATGAAAGAAATTAAGTTTTTTTTTGTAAGACTTACCACTTTTATTGGATTTTCGTTGTGCAAGCTGTTGTTTATCTGAAAAAAATTCGAAAAAAGAATAAAAAACAAAACAAATGTTACTTTTTTCAATTCAGGAATTTTCAAATTAAAACATTTTTTTTCATTTCATTTCGTGCCCAAATATTCAATCAAATTTTTACGATGATGACAGAAAGATATCAATAGCATATCACCGAAAAAAATGAAAGTATCAGAACAAAACAAAAGGTTAAGTCTCGAAATACCCGTATGAATCAATCGATCAATTTCATCTCTCATCTTTCATATATAGACACACCGGGGTAAAATGATGTTCTAATCGAAAATAATGCACACAAAACAAAACAATTCATGTGGAAAAAAAATTATTAAACATATCTTCAATCATGATGAAAATGACAATGATTGAAATGATGAAAAAACAAAACAAAACAAAAAAAACCAATCGGGACTATCATCATCATATTGATGATCGTTTTGGGATGTAAATTACATGATGATGATGATGATAAAGGTGTGTGTGCGTGTTTTTGTCGGATACACAACAAAAAACAACAATAAACACCTCGGGTGTTGATGATAAAATGATGAAAAAAGATGAGTGGAAAAAGATGCAAAACAGCCTTTTTTTTGGTTGTTTTCCCTGAAGGGAATATTATCTGGGGAAATATGATTGAACTGAATTTTTTTTGTTTTGTTTTTGCTGGTGTAAATGATATTCAAAAAAAAAATCTTTCATCTTAATCATGACATTTCAAACAAACAAACAAAAATCGATCAACTCGAAAGGTGTTTGTGATTTGACTTCTTCATTTTTTTTTTTGAACAAACAAAAACAAAACTTACAATCGATGAATAAAAATGTACTGCCAATTGGAACGACAACCAACATCTATTTTTCAAATAAAAATTTGAATGAAATGATTAATTTTTTTTTCAAAACAATCAATTCGGTGAAATGCTTACCATTATACCTGTAATCAATATTACAATCAATGCATAATATGTAATTTTACTTGTTATCAATTTATGTGGATTATTTTGATTTTGATTATTATCCGATAACTCTACCACTGTCGTTGATAAAGATTGATGATAAAGACCCGAAGCAGTTGCAGCTGTTGCTGTTGTCATTTTGTTGTTATTATTCAGATGATGATGCGGATAACCATATGTGGATAATAATGTTGGATCTTGTTTGATTTTTCCTCGATAATCATGATTAGATGAGCTACCACCAGCATAATTTTGTACCAAATAACCAGAATCATCATTGTTATTGTTTCGATTGATTGTGGTGAACATTTTTTCGGTTTGTTTTCCTCCCCTCTCTCGATTAATTTAAATATGAAAAAATGATCAGAAGAATTTTTTTTATCTTTGTTTGTTGAATTCCTATTCCAAAAAGAGAAAAGAAGAAGAAAAAATTAATGAATAAATCATATTTCAAAAATTATTTACAAAGAAAAAATTATGGAAGGTAAAAATTATCATTTCGAACGTTATGACAATACAGCACCGTTGACTATATTTACACAAAGTGGTTCGATTGTTTGAATGTTGTTGATGATGAAATAGAATCGAACGAATTGAATTATCATTCAAAGAATTTTTGATTCTGTTAATATTTTCATTGGTTATAAATTCTGTAAATCATCATTATTATAATAATAATAATTGTAATTTATATTCTTCTTTGCTTCTTTGATGGATGAATGTTATCAAGAAGAAGAATAAGATTCTTTCATTCACCAACCATCTTTAACTTGATTCGATTCGAAAATTCAATATATTGAATTGGTTGGGTTATATGCTTTATTATTATTATTATTTGCTAAAATGCGATATTGTTCCTGGCTATTCTTTCTTTCTCTCATTCTCTATGATTCGTTTCATTATTTGCACAACCAAATTGAAGACGAAAAACAGCGAAAAAGAATAAGAATAACAGCATCAACAAAAAAAAACCTCGAAGAAAAGAAAAAGCAAAAAAAGTAAGAAAGTAAAATACTTAGATAAACATTTAAATACTAAAAACTTGTTTGCTTCATTCATTTTCGTTTCGTTTCTTTCATAGAATTGGAATTAATTACAAATGTCAACAAAATAACCAAGAGAGAGAAAAAAAAATTCTCGGATCATTCAATGTTTGATATTTATTTATTTATTTTGATGATAATATCAAACAATTTATATAAATTTCGGCAGCCGACAAATAATGACGATTGTTTTTATATAACTTCTGTTGTTGTTTGTTTCAATTTAGAAATTCACAATTTTTTGTCATCATCATCATCAACATCATCATTTCGAATGTTTAACAAGAAATAAAACATTCGAATTTTTTTTTCGAATTCGAAATGGAAATTGTTACTGGAAAAAATTTTTCTTGAAAACGAAAATTTCCAAGAAAATTTCTCAAAGTTTTGAAAACTTTTTTTCCGGAAAAATCAATCAATCAATCAATTAACATACCTTTTTTTTCCCCGTTGAATGAATTCGATAAATTTTCAATTAAAGAAAACAAACCGGAACAACTGGGCAACAAACAAACAACAACAAAAAAACGGAAACCCGAAACACACCAGACAATGAATTTACCAGAAAGATTCTCTTTCAAATAATATGAATATTCATTTCATTTTCATTCAGCAATTTCATGATTCCTGTCGACAATAACGATCACATCATAAAGATTTGTTCAAGAATATAATAATAATAATAATACCCCGCCAAAAAAAAGAAAGAAAAAATGTGAAACCAGAACCAGAATCCAGCAAAAAAAGAAGAAAACCTATTGTATTTGAACACGGCGCATTCACTCACTCACTCAACACATTCATCTCAATACAACTCTTCTCATCATCATCATCATCATCATCTCAATCAGACACAACAGATGTATATTCTCTATGTGGAAATACAAATATGGCGCCCAACCTACGCCAAGCCACGCCGCCTTCCAAGATATTCCATATGTGTGTTTGTGTATAATTCTGTAAATCCCGATTTTTTTTTTGTTCAACAATCATCATCGACTTATTGTATCATTCATATGTTTGATTTTTTACCTTTTCTAATTGAAATATCATAGAATTTCTATTTTTTTTGTTAAGATAATTTAATCAAAAGAAAAAAAGTAAGTAAACAAAACAAAAAACAAAAACAAGGACATTTCGACACGATACAATAGAATGAAAATTAATTTTTTGAATTTGAAATCCGAATTGTGATGCTTTATGCAAACACCAACCCAGTCAAACACAATTTTTGTGTAATTTAAATAGATGACTTTTAAGCTTTTTTTGTTTTTGTTTTTTGTTCGATTGAATTTTGTTCACCCGATTCTTTTTTCTTCGTTTAGAATCCAAATCGAAAATGTAAAATGTGTGAATACAGAACACGGGCGAATCTCTCTTGATTTTTTTTTCAAACAGTAAATGTCAACACACACACATCACTTCAATTTGAATGGAAAGAATTCATCGATATCGTTTTTTTAGCTTTTTTTCAAACAGTTTTCCTCTCCCAAATGATGTGTGTGTGTATGTTTAATTTGCCTAATCCAACTCAATAAATTATATAATCTATTTTCAAATGTGGAAACAAAAAAAAAACTTTAAATGATTTGAAAAAAACGAAACGATTTTCAATCTTGACTTTTTTTTCGTGTTTGAAATTATATGGCCAAAAGTCATCACAAGTGAAATTCAATTCAATTCAATTCAATAATCCTTTTTACTTATTATATTAGATTCTTCAAACACAAAGACCAAACGGAAAAAAAAGTTCAAATAAAAAGTCGTCGTCGTCGTCGTTTCTCTATAGAAAATGGAAAGAGTAAATCAAATTAAACGTTTATATAATAATATATATCCATTACTTATAATTATCGATCTGCAGATGAATTTTGGAAGAAAAATTTTCCATTTCAAAGTAGTGTGTCCAACACACATCAAATGAGCAATTTGAATATATTCATAATATCGATTTATTGGTTGTTTTGTTTTGTTGGAGCTAATTCCTTAAATATTCGATTATTAGATTGATTATCGATATTAGATCATCATCATATCGCCAATGGCCACTACCATCATCATCATTTAACCAAGTGGTTTTGGGGGCTATATTGGCATATTTGAAAGTTATTTGATGGTAGACTTTGTTGTTGTTAGACAGTTTTATTCAAAAATAAATGGCTTGGATCGAAAATTCGAATCGATTTGATTCGATTCGAAATTTTGTAATTTTCATCGATAACAACATCCTTTAAACATTTTTTTTTGCTTTGTTTTCGTTTTCGTGTACACAGGTGCTGGACGCCGGCATGATGGCCAATAGATCGATTCGTTTGGCGAATAACACAAGTGCACCCGAAAAACAACCCAAAAAAATCTTCTTGAATCATCATCCATACAGAAATAAATTGTGCATATAGCCAAAAAAAAAATCTTCTTTATTGTCTTAACGATCAATTTGATTCATTTTTTTTCTGGTCGTCGTTGATGATGATGAAAAAAATGAAAATGAAAAAAACAACAATGTTTGTTGAACAATGTTTATATATGAAGAGAAAGATATCCAAGAAAACAATAATAATAAAAAACTTAATCCTATATAAGCATTATAAATAATGATGAACAATAATAATCTTGAACAACAACAACAACATGGAAATAACAATATGGTTAGATTTATAAATCGAGATAAAATGAAAATATTCAATTGGTAATCATCATCATCAATCGATTGATTTGTTGTGGTTATCAATATATTAATCTTATTAATCAATAGTATTCGATTGTGTTCGATAGAATAATCGATAGTTATATCGATACTTACTATTGTTGTTCATTCATTTCCGCAACATTCGATTTTTTTTTCTTTGGTCGAACAAGTGAACGCCATCTATTATCGTTAATATTTAATTCGAATTGGATCAAGAATTCTGGTAATTCTGGATTCTGAGCATTCCATCACTATATATAAAAAATGATGTTATTGTTATTGGAACAGAAACTTGAATAAATTTGAGTTCAATGAATTCAATCAAATCATCATCATTATCATCCTTATAATCCACATTTTTTTTAATATTATGTTTTTCAAATGTTTTTCTGGACAAATCTAATCTTTTTCATTATAGTTTTAGTTGTAAATAATTTTGTTCAATCATGTTATCGATCTGATCGTTTGGATCCATCGAATCCATGTTATAAAAAAAATTGTCATCTTGGTGCTGAATGTCAATTATCATATGATGGTCATTCGGCTGAATGTGTTTGTATGGAAAAATGTCCATCATATGGTGATTCACGTGGTAGTCGTTTAGTTTGCGGTACTGATGGACATGATTATCCAAATCTTTGTGAATTAAATCGACATGCATGTGAATTTTCCAAAGAAATACATGTTCGTTATAATGGTTCTTGTGGTATGTTAATTACAATTTTCCACAATAATGATATTTTATCTCTTCGTTCCAATTTTCTTATCAGATCCATGTTATGGTGTAAAATGTCCAGCATCACAAATATGTCAAGTTGATGATAATCGTAATCCAATTTGTAAATGTAATTGTGCTTGTGGTAATGAATTCGAACCAGTTTGCGGTAGTGATGGTAAAACATATATCAATGAATGTACACTACGTGTTGAAGCATGTCGTAGTTCAAAAAGTTTACGAATATTACATCAAAAATCATGTTCAGGTTTGTTGATTGTCATTTTTGATTCCTGAAACTTAATGTTTTGTTTTTTCGTTGTTGCTCATGATAGAAAACAATGCATGTAAATCACTAAAATGTTCACAATATCAGGATTGTGAAATAAATCGTTATGGTATTGCTCAATGTCAATGTCCAACAAGTTGTACAAAAATATTGAAACCAGTATGTGGTACTGATGGTAAAACATATGATTCTGATTGTGATCTAAAACGTCAAGCTTGTTTAAATCATCGAAATATTAGCATTCGATATATGGGTACTTGTGGTAAGTGTTACACTCGGAATTTTTTGATTCAAACATTTTTATAATCATCATCATCATCCATAAAGATTTAGATAATTTTTGTCATCGTAATCATGGTATATGTAAATATGGTTCAATTTGTGGCCTATCACCAACAGGAAATTATAGCTGTATTTGTCCACAATGTAATGAAGAATATTCACCTGTTTGTGGTAGCAATATGATTACCTATAAAAATCGTTGTAAATTTCGCCAGGATATGTGTGAAAAACAGTTGAATAATATAACATTTTCTGATGGTCCTTGTTTTGGATGTGAAAATATTAATTGTTTATATTATTCTAAATGTGAAACCGATGATCAAGGTGGTCATTGTGTTTGTCCAACAAATTGTCAAAAGGTTTTGATGTTTATTTATAAGATTCTTTGAAAAATATCTAATCATTTTTTTCATTTCAAAATAGAAATATGATCCAGTTTGTGGTTCAGATCTGATAACCTATACAAATGAATGTGAATTTCGTGCTAGTGCATGTAAAAAACGAGAAAATATTCTGATTATTAAACATGGTCCATGTAATTCTTGTCAAAATATTCATTGTGAATTTGGTGCCCGTTGTGAAAACGGGGTGTGTGTTTGTCCGAAAAAATGTCCCACCTATATTGATCCGGTTTGTGGTTCGAATAATATTACCTATGAAAATCAATGTCAATTAATGATATCGGCTTGTTCAAGTTTGAAAAAAATCAACATACAATATAAAGGACCTTGTGAAGGAAAAATTCCATTGCTCAAAAGTAAATTATATTTTATCGGATCATTTTTTTTAACTTGATAATAATCGAATGTTTTTTCCCCTTTCAGTCACTGAATCAATGAATACACGATGTCAATATAATACCTGTAAATATGGTGGTATCTGTATGATTGATCATCACCAACAACAATCAACAGAAAATACTTGTTTTTGCAAGTAAGTCAATCGAAAAAAATAACGTAAAATTTTAATGATTATTTTCCTTTCAACAGTTTCAATTGTTCAATATTCACAGCTAATTCGGAAAAAATTTGTGGTAATTTTGTTCAAATAATTTCATTTGATTCAATTTTGAATATTTTATATATCGTTTATAACAGGAAATGATGGCCGTATCTATGAAAATGAATGTATATTTCGTGAAGAAATTTGTAATCGACAACAAAATATTGATAAAATGGATATGAATTTTTGTAAAAAATTTTTAAATATACCATGTCAAGGTCAACCACCATTGATCAATAATTTTACTAAAAAAGAATACAATTGTCAACAACAAAATTGTCCAAAATATAGTTATTGTCATAAAGGATTAGATTTTGCTAAATGTTGTCAAGAATTGGATTTCGATGAAGATTGTTTCGATACCGTTTATGGTTGTTGTCCGGATCAAAAAACTTTAGCCCTTGGACCGAATCATGCTGGATGTCCAAGTATTTGTCAATGTAATCGACTGGGATCATATCTTGCGAAATGTAATCCACAATCAAATCAATGTTATTGTAAACCAGGTGTCGGTGGTTTACGTTGTGATCGTTGTGAAGCAGGTTATTGGGGATTGCATAAGATATCCGAAGGAAATTCCGGTTGTATTCGTAAGTTCTATCGGTTTGTGTCTTTCAACATTTCTTTTTCTAAAACCTTATCATTTCAGCTTGTAAATGTAATAAGATTGGATCATCACGAATCGATTGTGAACAAATGAGTGGCCGTTGTGTATGTAAACCAGGATTTCAAGGAATGAAATGTGATATTTGTTCGGAAACAACATTCGGACATTTGGATCGTTGTCCGATTGACCGTAAGACTATTTCTAATAATGAATGATTCTATCTAATTAATTTATCTTTTTTAAAATTTTACAGTAAATATTACAACCGAAACGTATCCCTGTACTGATAATAATCAATGTAATTTCAGTGCAATATGTAAAAATTCTCATTGTGTTTGTGATTTTGATTGTCCATTCAGTACTGATCCGGTATGTGGTAGTAATGGAAAAATTTATGAATCTGAATGTCATCTGAAATTGTATTCATGTAAAATGAATGAGCCAATTACATCTTTACCATCAGATCGTTGTTATCCTACTACAGTTGCATTTCAAGATTCAGCAACAACAAGTCCGGTACGTCGTTCAACTCGTTATCAAGATTATGATCAACAACAACAACATTTGACTGTAAAAATGTTGGATATGTCTGAAAATGAAATCCTTTTGAATACTGCTGGTCCAACAATGCCAACAATGGTCGATTATGATTATCGATATGAAGAATCGGAAAATATTCATTTCAATGGCGAAGCTTTTATCGAAATGGATACACTTAAAGCTCATTCAAAAGTTAAACTTAAATTAGAAATCATAACATTTTCATCTGATGGTATTATTCTTTATAATGGACAAACAAATACTGGAGAAGGCGATTATATTGCATTGATTTTAAAAAATTCATTCATTGAATTACGATTCAATTTAGGAAGTGGAACTGTAGTGCTGAAAGGATCGAAACCAATTATTCTTGGTCGTAATCTTGTCATACAGATTAATCGTCAATTTGCCGAAGCTTCATTATCGATAAATAATGATCAGATAATTGGAAAAAGTGAAGGTCCACATAAACTTCTTGATTTAGGTCATAATCTTTTCATTGGTGGTTTACCATCATTAAATCAGAGAAAATTTTTTGATCTTTTAAGCGTAAAAAAGAATTTTACCGGTTGTCTACATTCATTGATTGTCAATGATAATCGTATACATTTGTCGGATCGAAATCCAGATTTTATCAATTGGAACAATATCGGTATGTTTCTGTTTTTTCTGCCTGAAAATGAATAAATTTGTTTATTTTGAATCTTTTTTTTATATAGAAAATTGTGACAAAAGTGCTTGTAATCGATCATTTTGTAAAAATGGTGGTAAATGTCGACAACGTAATCTTTCATTTAAATGTATCTGTCCGAAGGAATTCATTGGTGAACAATGTGAAACAAAATTATGTACTGGACATAAATGTACATTCTGTCAATATGATCATCATATTTGTAATAAATGTAAGTCATACATTTTCGAAACAAAGCAAAATTTTATTATCATTTTTTTCAAAAAAAAAACTAACATAGCACATTCATTAGCTGTTATGGATTTTTGGAATCAATCATTTGTACAATTACCAACATTACATGGTGTTAGTCAAACATTTATAATTGAAGGTTTGTTTTGATGAATGAAAGAATCTTTATTTAAATAAACTAAACCATTTTTTGTTTATAGTTTGGCTTATGACAAGAGCATTGAATGGTTTAATCATGTTCAATGGACATAGTCAAGGTGATTTTCTACAACTTCATCTAAATCAAGGTTTTATTTATTTTGATTTCAATTTGGGAAATCCGCAAAACAAAAGGTAAATGTTAAAAAAAAATCTATATTTTCCAAACTTATTCTTTTAAATTTTTTTTTCGATCGCTCTTAACGAATAGTGGAAATGTTTCTATCAAGTAAGTTTTATCTGAAAGTTTCTATCGATCATTATTGATTTTTTTTTCGCTAAAACATTTTAGATCACAAAATCGATTAAAACTTGGAGAATGGCATCGAATAGTTATGATACGACAATCAAAAATTGGAATGTTACAAATGGATGATGAGTATGTTATTTGATTATTTAATTCAATGAATATTTATGGATAACTATCATTTTTGGACAACCGTAGGCCATTATTGACAGATGTAGCCATTGGAAATCTAAATGAATTGAATCTTAATCAACCATTTTATTTGGGTGGTATTCCACCATCCGCCGATAATTATTTCAATGGAGCAATACAACGTATTGTTATTAATGGTATCATACAACGAAACATTATCGACAAAGCTATCAATCTGGTAAATGTTCAACCATATCATGGTCCACCTTGTGGTGGTATTGAAAATCCATGTCATAATGATGGTCAATGTTTACCATGGTGTAAGTCACTTCATCTAGTAAATGTTATCATTCAATTTTGTTTTCTTTTTTTGGTTAGTAAATACATTCATATGCCATTGTCAACCGAATTATCACGGTGAATTGTGTGAAAAGGGTAAATATTACCAAATTCAAATTATATTGAAAATTTAAAAAAAAATTATTTCTATTTACAATAGCTATCGAAAAGAATTCCAATTCAATATTACGAAGATCCTATGTGGATAATATGACTACAGTGGATTTACAATTGTAATTTGATTTTTACTTATTTCATTTGAATATTTTATTCTAATGATTTTTTTGTACAAGGGTCAATTATCATAAAAATTTGATCGAACTGAAATTGCGTACCAAAAATGAAGATGGATTAATCTTTTGGCTAAGCAATGATTCAAATACAATATCGGATTATATTGCTTTAATATTGATCGATGGTTATCTGGAATTTAGTTTTAATCTTGGTATACGATCTAATTATCTTAGTATAAGAAGTACGATCAAAATCAATGATGGTGAACTTCATCATGTTATATTAACTAGGTATATTAACTAGATTGATTTATTCAATTCAATCATGAATTTAATTGAATAATTTTTTAGAGATAAACGAATAGGCATTATGGAAGTGGATGAAAAATATATGTCCAGCGCTATTTCTGCCGATGGAGCCAATGAATTAAATACGAATGGAAAATTATGGATCGGTGGATGTCATTCATTACCAAATGGTCTAACACCATCTTATTATCGCAATTTTATTGGCTGTTTAGAAATGCTCAAAATTGAAGGAATATTAATCATGAATAATGTACAGAATTTATTTGATTGTTCTTTCAATTAGTATTTATAAAAAAATTAACTATTATCATCGCCACCATCGTTTCGTAATTGATCGATTAAATTTAATACAATTTTAATATGGGCTTTAATTTTAGCAGAATTTTCCATTAAAAATTCCATTGATTTTTTAAGAATTTCTGTTTTACGATTAATGAATCTCAATGCTTCATCAAGTGTCAATTCAACATAACAATCAAGTCCAACACATAAATATATTCGATCGGTATTCGGTCTGAGCAACATTGAAAGAAAAGACAATTAGATAAATTTTTTTTTTTTGAATCAAAAACAACTTACATGACACATTGAACATAACAATTTGAACCAATATCATTCATTGTTTTCAATGTTTTCATTTGATCACCATTGATTGTTTCAATTGTTGATTTAATATTATTATAATCGGTAATTTGTTCACAGATCTTTTCATATTGGCAAGAAACTTTATGCAAATCATTTTTCAATACATTTTCAACAAAATTTTCATAACGAAGAATTTTTTCATTAATCGATGATGATGATCCACCGATTAAATAATCCACATTCGAATCGGGATTTTCCATCATTTCGATTCATTCGAACATCTGGATAATATTCCACATTTTTTCAAAAATGGCTAAATGCGTTACTAGATGGCAGTGTTTAGTGGCGCTGTATGTTTGTTTGAATTGAATGACGGTTGTGTTTTTTTTTTTTTTTTTTTTTTTTTGGGTTGGTTTTTTTTTTTTAAATTTTTTAAAAAAAAAATTTTTATCACAAAAACGCGNCAAAAGTTTGTTTTGAAAGCTGTATGGCTTGTTTAACCGCATATCTTACCTATTTATGTTTCGATACACATTTTGATAAGGTAAACAAACAACAACTTTGAAATGAAAATTAAAAAAATTTGTTTTATTTGATTTATTTTCTAGAGTTTAAAGAAAATATCGGCCTATATTAGTGAACAAAATGATATTGTTTTCCATCCTCGTGGTGTACACATTACCGATCCTATTGAAAGAGGACTTAGAGTTATTGAAATATCTATTACAATCAATAATGATTCAAGATAAAATAATTATCATGGATTGATTCTACCCGAAACAATGTTGTAAATTTTTTTTTAAAAATCATCTCGTTTCTCCTGGTCCTATTTATCCTAATTGACAAAATTTTTCTTCTTTTTGAAAATTGTAAAATTTCAATTTTATGTTTTTTTCTTCTTTTTCTTCTGTAAATTAAACTAATTGTGACCATTCAATCTACATTTACATTTTTGTTTGTTTGGTTTTCTTTTTTGATAAAATTCGCACAAAAAAATTTCCATGATTTTATTTTTTATCTTTTGTTTTCCCGATTTTTTTCAATAAAAATTTGTTTATTCGCTTATTCAAAAAAAAAGGGTTCGCTTAAATTTGGCTTTGCAGGAAAGTGTGCGCAAAATCAAGATGCGCACAATTTAGTTACACAATTTAAACCAAAGATGACAGCACTGTATTCGAATTGATAAGCTGTTTGAATCGAATGACGGTTGGTGTTTTTTTTTTTATTCGTTGCTGTTGTCAAATTTTTCTTTTGAAAATCATAATTATCATCAAATCAAATCAATTGGCGAATCATGTAAGTACCGATGATATTTTGTTTTAACAAATTGTTTCTTATGTTTTTCTTGTTACATTAGGGCTAATCAAAATGAATTATTAAACAAAATTGATGATTTAGAATTATTGTTGGAAGAAAAAGATAAAATTATTCATGAAAAAGAATTGACAATTAAAAAACAACGTGAAACATTAACAATATTTCATCAACGTAATGTTGTTGATGCTGATCAATATGATGATCTTAAACAAGAATTTGAATCATTACAGAAAAAATTCAATGATATTCGACAAAAATATGAATTCTCACAGAATGAAAATCAAAGTATTCAACAACAAATGGATGATATGGATACTGTTATCACCCAAAAAGATGAACAAATTGAAAAATTACAAAAAAATAAAAACAATATTGAAATGTTGATGGAAAAAAATTCTCTACTATCCGATGAATTAATAAAATTGGAAAAAATTATTAATAATCAACGTGAAAAAATGGATGATTATGAAGAATTGATTCGAACACTTGAAACACAAATCGTACAGATGAAAGAAAGCCATTCGATTAATCTACGAAGAAATATTTCATTCAATTATTCATTCGATAATTCAATATCAGATTTGAATAATTTACCAATGATGATGGCTGGTGAAATTGTTGGTGAAAATGTTGCCGATATCAAAATTAATGCATTGGAAAAAGATATTCGTGAGCTGGTTGTACAAAAAGAAGAATTAGAACAGAAATTATCGAATGAACAAAATGAAAAAGAATCGATAATAAAATCAACTGAAAAATTGAATGAAAGAATAAAATTATTACAAAATGAATTTGATCGATTAAAAATGTTAAACGAAACCAATACAAATGAATTAATTCGACAAAATCAATTGATAAAACAATTAAAACAATCACTGGAATTGGAATTGAAAAATGTTAAAGAATCTTTTCAAAAATTAAAAGAAAATCAAGAAAATTTTACTGAAAAATTTCAAGAGGAAATTCATTCGAATTGTCAACAAATTATTGAAGTTTTTAATAAACAACTTGAAACAATATCATTACTATCACATTTTAAACATACATTAGAAATACAATTGGAAGATATTTGTACGGATAATGGCCAAATTGAAAAAGAATTACAAAAATCTCGATTAATAATTGAAAAACATGAACAAAAAATCACCGATCAAAATGAAGAATTGAAGAAATTTCAACAAAAATTTGATGAAAAACAAAAAGAATTTGAAAATTTACATTCAATTATCGATGATTATCGTGAAAAACTGAAAAATTTTGAAAAAAATAATGATAATGAAATGTTTCGTTTGAAATATGAACAACTACAAAATGAATTTGAAACTATGAAAATGAATACGAAAAAACTTGAAATGAAAATAAAAAATCTACAAAAAGCATATATTGTTGAAAATCAATCATTTGTTGCTGAAAGAAAAACAAAAGAAAGATTATTAAAAGAAAATATGGAATTGGAAAAAGAAATTGAAAATCTTAGAAAATTGATGGCTCAATTTACCGAATCGAATGTTAATGATGATGTAAAACGTTCGAAATTGATGAATGACGGGGGAATTGATCAAAATCAACCGCAAAAACAACAACAACAAGAAGAATGTCAATCGAAAACTAATCAATTACCATATCAAAAATCGCAAACATTTGTAATATCATCATCAACAACAAAAACATCAAATCCAAGAATAATGAATAAACTACCCGATGTACAGGGTATTAAATTCGAGATGGCCGATGAAGAAGGTGAATTTATGGATCCAAATAGAATAACACAATCATCATCGATTAATCCACAACCACCACCACCAACACCATTTCCACAAGAACGAATAAAAATATTAAGACAACGAAATCAATTACTAAGGCCACATCTTCGTACATCATATCCGGTTGAATTTCAAAATGTTCGTAATACGGATGAAAAAATATTAAAAGATACGGGAATTACACCATCAAAAAATTTACAAAAATCTAAATCACGTGAACGAATCGAATCATCATCCGCATCATCATCATCATCATTGGACCATAATATTCCAGCCAAAAGATCTAAATTATAATCAAACAAATAATGTAAAATATTTTAATTTTTTTAATTTTTTTCTTTTAAAATCGATTAATTTTTATAACTTTTTTTTTCAATAAAAATCCAATTTTTCCATCGTATTCCGCATTTGTCGAACGTGATTGATTCGATGAAAAAAACTTACAAAGAATTTTTTTTTGATTATTCAGTTGAAAACCGGAATGAGAATTGAAATTAAGAAACAAAACAAAACAAAATGAAAAAAATTTCATTTGAACAAGGAAATCAATCGAATCGATTTTGTTTGAAATTCAAAAACAATGAAAAAATCAATGAAAATTGAAATCAAATTTCATTCTGATTGAATTGATTCCATTGCAGGCTCCTACACCGCCATCACCATGATGATTTCCTGCAATGATAACAGCACGACAAACAACAAACAACAGCAATATTCCTTATCAATGAATTTCCTTTTTTTCTTTCTTTCTCTAAAACATAACACATAACATGTCGACATTGATTCGAATTTAGTCCAGTCATCATCGAACAATCAATCATGGACATTCGCATAATCATCACCAAAATCATCATTACAATAATAATATTGATTAATTTGATTACAAATTATTCATCGTCCATACCATTATTATCGAAAAGTTTAAGAAAATTCAATAATGAAACAACAGAAACATTCAATAATGATGATGCTATTGTCGCTGATGAATTAAGTGGATCATTATTACAAATATTTCAAAATTTTCCATTCGATTCATTACAATCATCATCACCAACGAATATTGATGAATTTTTAAGCTATGATGGTTGGTATCATGATCTAAATCGTCCAGATCTTGGTTCAAATGGTTCACCAATAAAAAAATTAATGTTTCCAAAATTTCGTAATAATTCCGCTGATGATAATGATGATAATATTTTTATGATTAGTGAATCAATATTCAATGATAATCAAATACATTTTTCAATCAATGGTAAAAATTTATTATCCATTTATTTTGGTATGTTCATATTGAATGATATGTTGGATACATGGCATCCAAAATGTCCACCATCATATCGAAAAATCCCCCTTCCACGAACATATTTTGATCGTAATGGAAATCAAATACCATATCAATCAAGTACAACGGAACATAGTTTTATGTTTTTGAATGAAATTGAACATTGTAAATTGATGGATTCGTTGGAAAATCCGCCAAACAAAATGAATTATCGTAGCATATGGATTGATGGTGAATTAATTTATGGTAATTCAAAATTTTGTTCAGATTTTTTACGTACATTTAAACGTGGCCGTTTAATCGATCAAACACAATCGAATCATCATCTTAATCATTATCATCATCAACATCGATTTGGTAAAGAATGTTTTAATTGTAAGATTTTTTTTTCAATTATTTTTTCTTTTGTTCAAAGTATCGATTATATCGATTAATTGATTTCTTTCCTTTCGACCATTCTAAAAAAAAAAAAAAAAATAGATTTCGGGGAAAATCCAATCAATGAAAATCCATTTATATTAACCATACATTTTTTTTGGTTACGATGGCATAA